GTGAGTGTTGTACTCGCCATTGATATTAATACCGTATCCTTTCCAGTCCAGTAGCTTGAAAACGTCTTCCAACGCAGCGGTGAATAGTTTCGGGGATATAATATAATCACCCTGTCTTACACCTCTTTGCAGTTGGATAGGTTTCTAACTCCGGTTCTGTACTCGGATAGCCATCGTAGCCCTACTGTACAAACACTTCAGCACTTCGATATACCGACAGTCAACTTGGCACCGCTGAAGGGACTGTAACACCGCCCAAATTTCGACGGAATCAAAGGTTTTCTCATAGTCCACACATGCCAGGCAAAGTGGCAAATTGTACTCTTCGGTCTTCTGTACAATCTGCCGCAGGGTATGTATGTGGTCTATGGTACTGAAGCTTTTTCGGAAACCGGCTTGTTCGGGAGGCTGGAAGTCGTCGAGTTTATCTTTATAAATAAATAATAATTAATTTGTATATAAAGTCATTCAAAAGGTTGGAGAAATAACATTTAGAACAATTAAAATACAATAATAAACATAAAGTTAAAAATACATTCATTTTAAACATTATGTATTTGAGTAAAGTAAAGGCTTAATTTCGTCTTTGAAAATTCATTTAATTTATTATAAATTATAACTGCTTAAAATATTCAAAATATATTAAATAATAGAAATACAAGTCCATTATATTACAATAATAAAGATAAATAACATTTATAATAATAATTGGAATATGGGTAAAATATTCTAAGTTATTGAGTATTCTTGTGATGCTGGAGGGGGTTCTTGTAATACTGGAGGTGTTCATGTAATTATTGCTTTTATATATTCGTGTATTGGTGGTTGGCAAGATGTCTTCCTACTAAAGTAACGATGCACAATTTAAAATCCTATATTAGGTACTTATTTTAGAAAGGTCCGTGACACAAAAGTATTTATATAGAAGATCTCTTAGATGCGTAGGAGTTGTAATAGCTGAATTGTGCGTGTAAATTACTTCACAGTGTCCAAGACCAAGGTAAAATTGGACTCGCTAACCGATATGTCCTAGGCATATTATCTTAGTGTCAGTGGTAAGCGGATTTGTTGTAGCAATACGATTTGTTCGTGGACATCGCACACCCATACTGATTAGTAGTAGACCGACCGTGCTTAGCGTTATGACACGTCCGCTATCTTCCGGATCAGGCAGAGTGTATTTGGTAGTACTTTTAAGTGCAACAAGCAACAAATATAGGTATTCGTACTATTACTCTATAATACGTAGGTTTCTGGATATTGACGTGCTATTATGATACGTTAGTGCTGTACTAATAACAACATTACCATATTGATTCGTTATATTTACGCAAACACTGCACATTATTTAAAACTATTTTACAGAATTTTCGCGTTTAATTATTTGATTTTTAATTCAGACCCAGTTTAATTCAGACTCACGGGGTCTGAATTGACTGACGTCTCGATGTCGTTGTTTACCCGGAGTACCTTCGGCTTTTTAATTATTATTTATGGTCTGATCTACGCAGAATGAACTTACTGTGTCTTGAAGTCTATTCTAGTCAGGCTATTGAAATTAAAAACATCCTAATTTCAATAGAGAAGGAGGATGGGTACTACCACCTGCTTGGGACCCTGTAACTAATAAAATTAAAACTAAATTAAAGCATACTACTGCAAGACTTCAAGACACAGTAAGTTCATTCTGCGTAGATCAGACCATAAATAATAATTAAAAAGCTGAAGGTACTCCGGATAAACAATGACATCGGAACGTCAGTCAATTCAGACCCCGTGAGTCTGAATTAAACGGGGTCTGAATTAAAAATCAAGTAATTAAACGCGAAAAATTCTGTAAAAGTAGTTTTAAATAATGTGCAGTGTTTGCGTAAATATAACGAATCAATATGGTAATATTGTTATTAGTACAGCACTAACGTATCATAATAGCACGTCAATATCCAGAAACCTACGTATTATAGAGTAATAGTACGAATACCTGTATTTGTTGCTTGTTGCACTTAAAAGTACTACCAAATACACTCTGCCTGATCCGGAAGATAGCTGACGCGTCATAACGCTAAGCACGGTCGGTCTACTACTAATCAGTACGGGTGTGCGATGTCCACGAGCAAATCGTATTGCTACAACAAATCCGCTTACCACTGACACTAAGAGAATACGCCTAGGACATATCGGTTAGCGAGTCCAAGTTTACCTTGGTCTTGGACACTGTGAAGTAATTTACACGCACAATTCAGCTATTACAACTCCTACGCATCTAAGAGATCTTCTATATAAATACTTTTGTGTCACGGACCTTTCTAAAATAAGTACCTAATATAGGATTTTAAATTGTGCATCGTTACTTTAGTAGGAAGACATCTTGCCAACCACCAATACACGAATATATAAAAGCAATAATTACATGAACACCTCCAGTATTACAAGAACACCCTCCAGCATCACAAGAATACTCAATAACTTAGAATATTTTACCCATATTCCAATTATTATTATAAATGTTATTTATCTTTATTATTGTAATATAATGGACTTGTATTTCTATTATTTAATATATTTTGAATATTTTAAGCAGTTATAATTTATAATAAATTAAATGAATTTTCAAAGACGAAATTAAGCCTTTACTTTACTAAAATACATAATGTTTAAAATGAATGTATTTTTAACTTTATGTTTATTATTGTATTTTAATTGTTCTAAATGTTATTTCTCCAACCTTTTGAATGACTTTATATACAAATTAATTATTATTTATTTATAAAGATATACTCGACGACTTCCAGCCTCCCGAACAAACCGGTTTCCGAAAAAGCTTCTGTAGCATAGACCACATACATACCCTACGGCAGATTGTACAAAAGACCGAAGAGTACAATCTGCCACTTTGCCTGGCATGTGTGGACTATGAGAAAATCTTTGATTCCGTCGAAATTTGGGCGGTGCTACAGTCCCTTCAGCGGTGCCAAGTTGACTGTCGGTATATCGAAGTGCTGAAGTGTTTGTACAGAAGGGCTACGATGGCTATCGTAGATGGAGTTAGAAACCTATCCAACTGCAAAGAGGTGTAAGACAGGGTGATTATATTAAATATCCCCGAAACTCTTCACCGCTGCGTTGGAAGACGTTTTCAAGCTACTGGACTGGAAAGGATACGGTATTAACATCAATGGCGAGTACAACACTCACCTTCGATTTGCCGACGATATAGTCCTTAAGGTAGAATCGCTGGAGGACCTTAGCACTATGCTCAATTACCTCAATGGCGTCTCCCAACAGATAGGTCTTGAGATGAACATGGACAAAACAAAGATCATGTTTAATGTACATGTCACACCTATGCTGGTATTTGTTGGGAGCACTATGCTCGAAGTTGTTGACGAGTACATTTACCTGGGATAAATAGTCCGACTAGGTAAGTTCAACTTCGACCGAGAGGTCAATCGACGGATTCAACTTGGCTGGGCAGCGTTCAGGAAATTACGACACATCTTCTCGTCAGGTATACCTCAATCTCTGAAAACTAAAGTGTATAACCAGTGCGTGTTGCCAGTGATGACTTACGGACCTGAGACGTGGTCCTTCACTGCTGGCCGTATGAGGACGCTCAAGGTCGCTCAGCGAGCTATGGAGAGGGCTATGCTCGGAGTTTCTCTGCGTGATAGACTTAGAAATGAGGATATCCGCAGTAAAACCAGAGTGACCGACATAGCCCAACGGATTAGTAAGCTGAAGTGGCAATGGGTCGCCCACATAGCTCGAAGAACCGATAACCGATGGGGAAGAAAGGTTCTCGAGTGGCAGCCTCATACCGGTAGGCGTAGTGTAGGGCGACCCCCCACTAGATGGAGTGACGACCTGGTAAGACATGCAGGAAGTCGATGGATGCAGGTGGCTCAGGACCGTGCTTTGTGGCATTACTTGGGGGAGGCCTATGTTCAGCAGTGGACTTGTGAAGGGCTGTAATGATGATGAATGTTCACTGTGTGACCGTAACCTTCTTTGTTTCGAACAAATGAAAAAGATAACTGACGTATTTGGATTTTGTTGCACTAGGTAAGCGACAAATGCCGCGACATTGAATAAGTTTAAGTATAAATTTTAGTTTTATATGCTTATCTAACCACCACACTCATTCGAATATTGGGAGGTAAAAAAGTTATAAACGACAATTTATGTTTAGTGAGTTTTTAGGACAATTTGTATTAAGCTCCTCTGTTAATTGGTACAGCAACAGGAATAATAACTGTAAACGACAAACGAAGTCAGGGAAATATTGGCTTAAATATCTTAAACCACAATAATATTTTTCAAACAAACTGACATAATGTCGTAAACGTAGTTTTAGAAAATAAAACGTCCAAGTAAAATGTAATAAATGTATCTTTATACATTAATTATTTCTAGCCAAAACCGGTTAAAGTCCAAACAATTTTTTTTTAAAAAAGCCTTAATAACGTAAGTCTCAGTTTCAAAATACCATTTTCTCAGCTAACCGTCAAAATTAAAAAATCACCAAAATATGTGTCATTTACGATAAAGAAATTAGGCTGAGGACCTCATTTTATATACTGCCTAACCGACAAAAAGTATGTCATAGAGCCATGAGACTTAGATCAAAAGACGTAGAAAAAAAAACGATTCTAGCCATATATATGTCGATTTCGCAAAAATTGGCGGTTATCCCTTTTTGGCTGTGAAGCGTCAATATAAAGATAACAATTTAAAAAACTTAGCTAGAAAACTTACCAACCCTGTAATGAGCACGTTTTGTTCTAGATATTATATAATTCACTTTATGCATAAAATTATATAAAATGTGAGAATATATTAACAATAAAGACGTCAATTTTTTTCTACCAGTTATATTTTTGATTACTAAACTTTTTATAAGTCATAATACGAATCTTAATCGTCAGTAACTATATAAGCACTAGACGATTCTTTATTCACATCATAACTGTTTAAGAATTCACTTATTATAGAAGAGCAAAATGCTATTTATTTTATTAGTTATATTGATATCAGTGTTTTTATGTATAAAATTTTTCAAACACTCCCACAAACAAAAGCTTATTTGTAAAATACCAGGCCCAAAATCGTTACCTTTCATAGGAAATTCACGACATTTCCAGCTGCCGCTTGGTATGACATTTTATTGTATTAAGTATATTCATTCATATTAGAGCAATAGATTAGAAAAAGGATAACTTGAATAACACATCTGTTATGGCGGAGATAAAACAGATACTTATTTTCAGATAAGCTATTCATTTACTTAAGAAAACTCTACAAGATTCATGGAGGGATTTACCAAATACACGCCCCCAATGTGCGAGCTGTTAATATATTTGACCCCGCGGACGTAGAGGTAAATTCATAATTATATTTCATAACTACACTAAAGTAAATCAATTATATTTAATTGTTTTAAATATTACTTATTTTAAACGTGTATATTAACAAATTACTGTAAATTTTTGATTCAATCCTTGAGTATGTATATTTTTTGTAGTTATAATTTCGGCGAAGGCTCCATTCGTTTATGTATCAAATAATTACGTTGGATACAAAAAACACATTGCTTAATTTTTGTTTTTTTTTTTCTCATAGTTAATAGAATCAAGCGTTACTTTGCGAAAATCATTTACATTAAAGGTGTTAAACATTAAAAATTAATTTGCTTAGTTCGTTAATTTGCTTATCCGTATAATAAAATTAAGTGATGTTGTTACCTTGTTTGAAGATCACCTCCCGCCATCCCTCAATTGCGTGCACTATCCCCGACGCCACTTATCCCAGCATCACTAATCCTAACACCACTATACTAGGAAAGACACGTCACGATTTAAACTACGTAATAAAAAAAACTGGTTTATTTTACTACGTGGATCTAAGCAAATTAAATTTTAATGTTAACATCTTTGGTATTTCTTTCTTAATTAGCTCGTAAGAGACCACAAAGTGACATGAGCCTCTTTTATATTAGAAACGATTTGCCATAGCGAGCATGCTTCCCAGTACTTGACACTTTGCACCACATATCAAAATTTAAATGCATTGTCACCCCTAAAGATAAAGATGGAATGACTCGTTTCCAGTAATAATTATCTGCGGTGCCCTATACTCGCCATATAACTTGACATATATAAACAGTTGTCACATTGACGTTCTCTGAAAAATATTACTGAACAGGATCATACTTCTATGACTCAAAACGGCACTGCTCATCAAACTAGCATAGCATTTTTTGTATAGAATGAGGTTAATAACAAACGAGCACAAAGTACACCTGATGGTAAGTTTTATACGCGGTAGAGCCATGCTGCAGTTATATTAGTAGTATAGTTATAGCACAAATGGGTAGGCTCGATCGGGTAAGAACCACGCTCTCACAGAATACCAACGTAAAATAGCAGCTTAATGTTGCTGTGTTTCGTATAGTGAGTGTAAAGAACCGGAGACCCTTTTTACTGAAAACGAGGCATTTCATCTTAGTCCTCACGGGTGACAAAGCATCTGCATTTTGATTCGTAATCGAGGATAGATGGTAAATGTCTATGGGCCACAGCAACCACTTATCGTCAGGTGGACTGTGTGCTTGCTTGTCACACTATCCTATTCAAAAGTGGCTGCTGTAACAAATAGACATAGATGTCTCCTCAATTAAAATTAATTCTCAATTAAGAATCAAAATGCAGATGTGTTGTCACAACTGAGGATTGAGATGGTATGCCTCGTTTCCAGTAAAAAGAGTATCCGGTTGTCTACCATACTCACAATGCTAAAAAGAGCGGTATAACCAATTCACGCTACAACTTTTAATATAGCTGCAGCGTGGCTCTACCACGTATAGTATGGTGAATATGAGTGAATTTTCCATGAAAGACATACAGTAAGGGGTACAATATGTATAAAAATACGTAATAATGTCCTCCAAACCGAATTTCGGCCACGGCGGCCTGCCGCAACGGAGGCTAGCCATCAGCGTAGGACAGGATTATAGTGCCCAAGTGTATGCGCAAGCACAGGTGCAATCTCTATTCCCTTACTCTCATAACCCGATGGGACGGTAAACCGACACGACCGGAGAGAGATCAGGCGCAGGACCAACGGCTTTACGTGCTTTCCGAGGCACGGGGGTGAGACACCGCCAAATTCCTGACTCCGGGCAGCTACTGAGAATTTCTTGACAGAAAAACTCAATGATTGATTTTTTTGGCCCGACCCGGGATTCGAACCTAGAACCTCATGATAATGAAAAATACGTAATAAAGCTATTATTATGTATTATACTTTATTATATAATATGCCTATAATAATTAATATAAATTATGCAAGAAAGAAATAAGTATATGATAATAAAAATTAAAAAAAATGTCGGTTTTAGGTAATAATGTCTTCGACCCGTTTTACCGAAAAATATCTTCCTTATACATTTATGAAACCCTGGCTTGGTGATGGACTTCTAGTTAGTAATGGTGAGTGTCATAACTAATGGTCAATCTAGATTCTGTAATTTAATATATTTTTTATAAAACGCAATCGAGCATACCGCTCAGCTGGTAGTAAGTGACTACCGCCGCTCATGAACAAGTGCAACCCAGGGAAATTGCAGGTGTGTTGTCGGCCTTTCCGAAAGGAGTATGCTCTTTTCTTGAAGGTCTGTAAATCGTATCGGTCTGGAAAAATCGCTGGTGATTCTACAAGTAAGTTGTTCGAGAAAGAAAACTTCGTGTAAGTCGCACAGTGATGGACCGCCAATCATCCATGTGACAAGTATGGTATCGGGAGTTTTGCCGCGATGTGCGTTCACGAAATTTAGCAACTGGGATTAAGCCAAATACTGCCTCAGTTTACTACCCGTAGTAGATGCGAAATAAAATGCAAACCGATGCAACATCTCATCGCAACGCCAATGAATTGAACCAATTGGAAAAAGCTCGGCCGTTTTGCCGATTCGATTCGAGCCGCTCTGCACTAGATGCGATCAAATGGAAAGAGCTGGCCCTAGGGAACCCCAGCCCAGAGATGAGAACACTATTCTATGTGAGACCGAACCTTCGTCTGGTGAAGTTTTAGTCGGTGTGCTGGCATGAAATATTGTCCCGTTCTGCTGAGCACGATATGTAGACACCGAGGATTCCAATAATGGCTGAGGCAACAAGGGGAGTGCCTTAAAACTGATTAGATATGACAAAACGGTTCTTTTTAGTGGTAAACGCGCAAACTCGTGTCTTCTGTGATATAAACGGAACTAGATTTAGTCGCTCCCAACCCGAGACTTCGTTCAGCAACGACTCGACTTCGGGTTTTTACCGGTACCCGACGACGTTCCTCGAGAAATATTGCCACGGCCGGTGTATAGAGCATCACCAGTCTTGTCATCCGGATATCAACGAATGTTACCAGTTTGCAACATATCAATTATACGAGTATGCAGAAGAAACATCGTTGGTGATAGCACTAAGTCTTATGGAATATCAGCATTAATAGGCTTGCAATCTGAGCATGTGCCGTCTACAACGACCCCCGATCTGCGAGAAGGCTGGAGATCCAATTGCACAATTTTTCGGAAAGCCCGTAGGAAGGGAGCTTCGCAATGTCCAAACTAACGGCCAATACCTTCCTCTTGGATTCTACTGCCTACACCCATCTATGAGTAACAGGAAGATCACCAGGTGATCGACCCCGAAGAAAACCGTATTGGCAGTCACTAATCAGCTGCTGATTCTCAAGGTACCGCATGAGCTGGCAGTTTATAATGGATTCCATCATTTTGGAGAACAAGGAGGTTATGGCGATAGGCCTTTAGTTAAACGGATGTGAGTGGTCAACTTTTTAGGGATCGGGTGGATGAAAGCCGCCATACATGATTTCCGAACTACTCCTAGGGAGTAAGAGTACCGAAAAAGATGCGTTAGGAGCTGTACCAACTCTGGAGCACGCGTTCTCAGCACAATTAGTGCGTTTCCATCAGGTCTACTGGACTCGTGGATGTCCAGAGAGAGGAGTGTTTTGCAAACCGATTGCTGTGTGAACCGCACATCCCGCACGGAGCACTCACACCGCGGGATGGTCGGAGGCATGCCACCCTCATTACCGAGAGTCGAGCTGGACGCAAAGAAAGAGCCTAGCAGATCGACTGTCTCCTTTGCGGCATGGGTCAGTGAGTTGTCCTCCTTGTGTAGAGGTAGCTGACAGAAATTTCCTTGGACAGTTTTGGAGAGAGACCAGACAGAATGCACGGGTTTTAGAAGGAAGATGAACTAGTTTCTTGATAATTCTGCCTATGTGTTCTGACTTTATTTTGGCAATGACTCTTTTAAGGACCTGCGGGCGGAGTTATACTTCTTTTAAAGGGTACTGCTGTTTACATCTCGGAACGCTGATACGTTGGCCCAGGCCTGGTACTACTCCTACTTATAGCATGTTTATAGAAGCGACTAAATTATGGCTGCGATCCGCTTTCGATTGGCACTACAGAAGAAGGAATAAAAAGTTCCATATCCAGAATTACCACATCAGCGACAGAATGAGCAACAACGTTGGGATTGTCCGGCGGAAAGCAAGCCCGCGGTGGGTAACCAAGGTTAGGATGCAAAGGAAAACCGTATCCTTTCCCAATCGGCTGACCAATAGTGCCAAATATTGCGGCAGCCTTCAGAATGAAACTGCGATTTCAGCGTGAGTGGCACCACTATCAGGACTAGACATGGTCCGAGAAGCCAAGAGGGGCATCGATGGAGACCTGATATCTGTTTGGATGAGAGGTCAACAGAAGGTCTAACAGGGAAGTTACATGATCATCCACATCTGGAATCGTAGGCGAAGTAACCAGTTACGTCAGACCATACAACAAGGTAAAATTATGAACAGATCTCCCCGCATGATAGGTTAAACATGACCCGAGCCATTCGGCGTAGTAGGCGTTAATATTGCCCAGGACCACGATCTCTGCGAATGGGATCTGCTGAAACAAGGAATCTGTAGCTATTTTAACGTAGTCGATGAGTCGGTCTGTTTCGGCATTACCGCTATACGACCTATAGAGGCACCCGTAGACGCGCGGATTTTTGTCACTGTCTACGTATGGCCAAAAGGTGGACCGGTCCGAATCTTCAAAACTGCCTAGGTGTCGAGAACAGATGTCCTGTCTGACGTATACGCAAATTGCTGCCTGAAGTACAAGGGAGTATTTCAATTTGTACCCCGGGTAGGAGGAGATACGAAGTATCAACCGGAGAGGACACCTACGTCTCGGTCAGAAACAGAAAGGGCTACTTCGGCGTATCGTATGGTGTACGGCATTTAGGTTTGAGTGAAATACCCTGATATTGCAGAAATTCACGGATAGCGTGGCAGGGGTCGCTTTTGTCTTGTTACTCGGCTTGGCCCGAGCAGTTATCGTCTTGTACGGAATTTTTCTACCAAAACCGCCTCACACCAGAATACGCGGGGCAGTCTAAACAACCATGCCTGGAGTGGAGTAGCTTGGTCGTGGATGCCCCACAAGGAATTGTACAAAATTGCTGGTACTATCTTAGGGTTATCAAACTTTTAATTCCGCTGTCTTACATTTTATAGCTATGTTGATGGGAAGGGCAGGGGGGGTAAATTGGACCTCCAGCCACCTGCACTCACCAGACGAAACGCAGAAGCAGAGTTATCAATTCACGCAGATACTTTGTGAAGTCGTGGTACCACCCAGGCTTGAGCCGGCCCATATGTGCAACAGCAAAAACTGCCACGTGGCTCGACCACTACAACACCAACGATCAACAACAAAGATTTTTAACGTAATAAAAATAATTTATTTCAAATAAAAATAAAAAAATCTAAAAGTGCACGGCTCACGAGAAAAAAATGTTATCAAAATTAAATATCACATTTTAACTAGTTTCAATTGCGCTACTGTTTTATGTGAGAGATTTGTTATATTGTTTTTGTACATGTATCATATTGAATATTAATATATAAAATTAATAATGTTTACCAATATAATTTTTACACAAAGTATAAAATCATTATAGGCTGTATAAATCAATGATTTCAAACGGAAGGATAGGCCCATTGAAATATTTTACTCATAACTTTTTCATACAAGAAAAAGTAGCGCATCTGTCATAATACAAACGTCATATCAAAACACGACGTAACCAGTGTCGGATTTCGTAGTGTAATTATCCTAATTGTACCATTATTTCTTAGTTTGCAGTATATAGTATCGTCATAATACTAAGCGAAAATACCATAATTTTACCTAAAGGTCGACTTGTATTATTAAGCTATTACATACCTTCTATCGCGGGCCTTGATCGCGGGGACCGAATCCAGAAATTCCGTAACGAAGAAAACCTCACGCTCCCCACTCCGACGGGCACGGAAGTGTATAGAAATTCTAGATAGCGTAGGGTTAATATTAAAATTTAAAAGGATCCAATAAAAAATACGTGTGGCACTCGGTGACTGCCGCGGTAAAGCTATTGCATAGCATTTTTTATCAACTTATGCAATTATAATTATTAAGCTATTATATAGATTCTATCGCGGGCCTTGAGCGCATCAAGTTACACTTTTTGAGCGTGGTGACCGATAAGAAAACAATTTTTTTTTCTCTTATTGAATAAATGAGAAGTTAATATTGTTTAAAATATTTTTAATATCTTACAATACATGTAGGTTATTCAGGAATTTTTATCATTGAGTGAGCAGCTAGTGTACACGCATACATCTAGTCGCACGCACACAAACACCGTGCCGAAGTCTGCCGAGTGCCGAAGTCTGCCGAACTGAAATGACGTTAGACGGAGTAATAGTGTTCTGTGGTTAGACGATGCACGGCTTTCAACGCCACACCTGCGTGCCCGTCGGAGTGGGGAGCGTGAGGTTTTTTCGTTACGGAATTTCTGGATTCGGTCCCCGCGCTCAAGGCCCGCGATAGAAGCTATGCAATAGCTTAAAAAAGAAACATGAAATGTCAAACGTGATATAATTTTTTAAAATAGTATAATTTTATTTTCCATGTACAATATTTTGGAGGGTCTGAATCCAACCCTGACCTAATCTTGGTAATGTAGGTAACTAAACTAACTGTAAAATAAAACTTTAAAAATGCGCTTATATAATAATTTAATTGTAACAAAATTAATATAATATACGATATCCCATGTTTTTTTTTTAATCTTTGTATCGTAATTTTTGCATTCTTTTACCACGCAACTAGACATATTTAATATTATTGTCGACCGATTCGCGTTGGCCCTAAACTGTAATTTTAGGGCCAGCGCACTGGTCCGTTTTAGTTGTTCGGTCGGCCCGGTCCTTACGCTAGTAATATATAAGTCAATGGTATAAATACATTTGTGCTTTGTCTATCAAGAGCTAAAGAAAATAATTAAAGTGCCCTTTAAATTTTTAATATGTAACAAAAAATTTTACAAAACTTGAAAATCGTTTTATTAATAAACGATGCATACTA